TGAATGTGTTTTACTCTGTGGGGGAACTATGCTTTTTAGCTCATGATTTTTGTCGTAATTAATATGTTATTATTTTTATTTGTACGCTAAGTTAAAAATCATAATTAAACTGTGACTCAGACATTCTTCTTCATGAATCTTAAGCAACACACCTGTAGCCGTCGATGAAAGAAGAATGCCTAGCTAGCTTCTTATTTTTAACACATTAACTTTATTAAATGTTAAGGCTAGCATATATATAAAAAATTATATTCAATTAAAAATTAAATATTAAAGTAGCCAAAGATTTTAAGATTAAAAAAGTTACTTTGCTCTCTGGTTATATGCACATATTCTTTACCTGCATGCTACCAAAGCCTGCTCAAATGTGAATAAATCAACACTACAGGTGAACTGAAATAAGAGGTTATGGTAACAACAACCGTCTCATTGGCTGTGAAATCTGCAAAATCAAGTGTAGATAAAGAGATAAAGTGAAACCGAAAATATTACTGATAGATTTTTGTCTTTTCTTTTTTTTCTTGCTTTAATAAGTGTTGGAGCTTTTGAAAACCAGGGACATGCTCAGAAACCTTGAGATGAAGCGGGAAACTGTAAAAGCTGATGTCACAGGTAAGAACATGAGACTACACTGTAATTTTGTATTAAACTTTTGTTTCTGACTTCTGGAATTTAATCACATAACACACATTATTATTAATATTATTAAATGTTGCTTAGCATTTTTTTTCCCAACATTTTAATATTTAGGTTATGGTGATTCTCATAACTGATCCTGATGAATAATTGTTGTTTTTAAGCCTGTTTTTAATTTGTTTTTTGTTTTTTAGAGAGACCTCCTGAAATCAAACCATGTAGTACAGTGCAGCCCACATGCCCGGAGCCTGAAGTAAAAATTAGTACGTTATGAATTTTAAACACATTTGTATCTGCAGGAAACAATTGCGTAAACAAATGTACAGCTGCATGACACAAGGACCATCCTCCTGCCTGAAAAATCGATGAAAATCAATTTTTTTTATCTCTTTTTTATAACAGTGACACAACCGTGCAGCCCAATACAAACTACAAGCCCACAACTTCCTGATATAACTATGAGTAAGTTTTATATTTTTTCTTTGATATATTTGTTATCCTCTGATTAAAGAAACATTGATGGACTGATATAAACAGTACGTTAGATTGTAACTGTGGAGTAAGTCGTGAACAGTGATTTCTTCCGTCTGACTGAAGTGTTTGATGTAATCTCTTCAAAGATGATTCATGTTATAAATGTGAAGATGGCTGGGAGCAACATGGAGGAAATTGCTATTATTTCTCCACCAAGTCATCCTCTTGGAAGAAGAGCAGAACTGAATGTATCACTAAAGGAGGAGACCTGGTTAAGATAGACAGCATTGAGGAGCAGGTATAAAACACTGCTGCAGGTTCATGTTCTCACCCTCATGTTTCATCATTCCGGAACAGAAAGTTTCATAAAATAATTTGATCAAATGTTCCTGTTTAGATATTATTGCAGAAAAAAAATGGAAAATTCTGGATCGGACTGACAGACTCAGCAGTAGAGGGCAGATGGCTGTGGGTGGACGGGTCACCACTGAATGAAAGGTTTGATTCAGTACACACAACAAATTCTGACTTTGTCCATTTTCAAAATCAAAGTTCAACTTTAACTTTTACAGTTAATGCCCATTCTGTTCTTCATCCCATAGGTTGACATTTTGGTTCGGTGACGAGCCAAATAGTTGGCCCGTGGAAGATCCTGATGGAGAGGACTGTGCGATGATGGGGCACAATGGGATAATGTTTTGGTTTGATTATTCCTGCAAATTAACTCTTAGAAGTATTTGTGAGAAAGCAGCTGTGGCTGTGTGTGTCTAAAATTCAGTTCAGCATTAAAAAAAGAAAACAGTGGAAGTAAAGGACACATTGAGACAATTTTTCCAAAGCTAATGCTGCAAACATTTAAAGCTTCCATTCAGAAATGTTTAAAGAAAAAAAAATTATAGACACTGTTTATAATGAAATAAATGTGAATTATTATTATTCACATTATTTTGCACTTGATTTTCTTATTCATGTATTATGTGCTAAAAGT